GGTATTTAAAAGACGGGTAGATGAGGCGCTTAGGGACATGGTTTAGTGGGATTGGTGGTGTTGGGTCGATGGTTGGACTCGATGATCTTAGAGGTCTCTTCCAACCTTAATGATTCTATGATTCTATGAAAACAAGAAATACACTCCATAGTCTTGATTATGTCCGCTTGCATGTGGGACAATGGCTGACCCTGAGCCTGAAACCAGGAACAGCACGGGTTGAAAGCTCTGCAGCTGCCATTAACCAGCCCACTCTTCACTTCAGAAACACCATGGGATGCCGAAATGGGAATTGACCTTGCTCTCGAGGGGATGCTGGCATGGCTTGTCTAGCATAGCCCAAAATGGGACAAGTAAGCCACACTCCCTCAGAGCAAGGGAGTCTGTGAACACCAGTGATGTGCACAGACCTGTGCTGACGGTCATCTGGGCACTGTGGGATCCTCTGGCAGAAGGGGGTCAGGAGAAGGGACAGAAGGGGACACTCAGTCTCTTACTGCAGCTCGAAGGGATGTCCCTTGATGGAGGGCTGCCAGTTAAGAGGAAAGAGTCCAAGGACCACGAGAAGGAAAATGTGAGGCGAATAAAGGAGATTCAGAAGAAGTGCAAAGAGAAGGAGCGAGCCCAAGAGCACAGCCAGCCCAAGCCTGTGAAAGCGCTGTGGAAATCTCAGAAATATGAAAACGTGGAGTCAAAGGTGAAGGCCAAACTGCAGGTTGGTACCCACTGAGCTCTTGAACATTCCTGGCCTGGGATGCAGTTCAGCCGTGAGGCTCTGTGGAACGGTGGAGATGGGGGAGTCCCAGAACCTACGGGTCTGGGGGCAACTCGGTGCTGAAGCACAGTGGGCAGATGTGACACAGTGGGGCTGTGTGCTGAGCGAGAATGTTTGGCTTGGGTCTGGAGAGCGATTGCTGTAATAATCCCCATCCTGTCTGGCCATGTAGACCCCCCGTGCAGGGGAAGCTGAGAAGAGGAAGATCTCATCACGCCCTCCGCCTGGAGGCTCCTACTTGGCCCTCCTGTTGTTAGGGATCTAAAGGCGGTTCCTGGGGGGTGCAGAGCAGCCCTCACAGCCGTGTTCCCTGTCTAGAGGTGCATCCAGCTGGCTTTGGAGCTTCCCAGTGTTTGGGACAATGCTAGTCTGGGGTTTGTGCCAAAAGGCTGTGGTATTCTGCCCCGTGGATCATGGTCCTCAGAGGTAGGTCTTCAGGCTGCGTCAAACGTTGGTCCAACTCTTACCACCCTGTGGACCCACAGTGGGCCGTATATCTCCAGATTCTTCTCTGAGCGATTGTCCTAGTGAATAACCATTGCACAGTGGTGGCACACAGACATGTCCAGGCAATCAAGGTGGGGGCCTCGTAGCTCCAGCACAACCTGCAAGGGTGTACGTACCTCCTGTCCTCTGTACACGTGCTTGTGGGAGAAGGAATGCGGGGCCGTGCCTTGTTTCCTCAGGCTTTCTCCACTGCTGAAACGAGCGGGTGTCTGGCTTTGTGAAGGTTTTGGTTCGCTTTTGGCTTCTTTCTTTTTCTTTCTCTGGATAATTTTTTCTCCTCTGGTGGGTTCCTCGTGTTTAAACGGTGCCTCTGTTGGAGGGCTTTGCAAAATGCACCAAAGCAGTTGCCTTGGTGTAAGTGTATCTGTTCGTGCAGAAAGTAAAATTAAGGCCCACTGTGAGAGGGAAGGAGAGCTCCATCACTATCTGTGGGTGGATCCACTGTCATCAGTCTGGATCTGGGAGACCCCTGTCATCCAGGTGACCTCTGTGTTCGGGTGGCCTCTTCCTTCATCCAGAAGTAGGCACTGCGGCTCCTATGGGTGGGGTCGGTTCCCACCGCATGGCGGGTTGTGCCCACCCTCATCATCGTGACCTCCTGGAGGAGAGGCCTTGGGGCTCCCTTCCGGCTCAGCCTCGCGTGGGAGAAGCTCCCCGAGGAAGGGGAAGTGCAGGGCTGCTGCCTTGGCCCGTAAGCCGCTGGCTCTCCGGAGTAGCCTTGAACTGTTGGATCCTGCGTTCCCGTCGGCCTCAGGGTTGTCGGCTGCCAGGAGAGGGCTTTGTCCTTCTGCGAGTCCCTGGTAGCCTTCGCGGTCTCCGTCTCTGTTCTGTCTTTGCAGCCAACCGGGCTGTGTGGACAGGAGCGACACAGCGAGCTGCTGCTTGTGCAGACGGTGGGTGCGAGCTGGGTGTCACCTTGAGCACTGCCACTTACACAAGCCTTCCCTTGGTGCTCCCTTCCTGAGTTGAAGCCTTCAAGTTCCTCCTCATCTCTGTATTGCTTCTCTCCGGTCTGTGGCCCTCGGGCCAACTTTTGACACTAAAATTATGTGTGTAGATAACAACTGCAAAAATTGGCAAGATGATTTCCAAGCCAGTGGTTCCAAATGCTGTGTCCCTTCTTCCCGGTGTGCCACCAACCTCTCTGACGTCCGTGACCCTTCCACACACGGGAGCAAACCCACGTGTGCTTTAGGAACACAAGCCTACGCTCTTGTTTGACAAATCCTCTGGGTTAGAGGAAGATTGAGATAATTTCTTCTTTTGTTTTGGGGGAAGGGGGTGGTCTCTGTGCAGGCAGTTTCTGCGTGGTGCATTACTTATGCTCTGCGGATTCCTCCAGAGAGAGGTGGCAGGAGGCCCTGGTGCTGACTCACATTGCTTTAACTGTTGCTGTGGCTCTCCTAGAGCTGGGGTGTTCCCTGTGAAGGATCTCCGTCTTCTGTGGAGCTGCTGCTCAGAGTTTAAGGTGATTCTGTTAGGTCTTGATGTCTAACACAGAGTTTCTTTTCTCTCATCTGTCCCCGAGGCTGTTAATTGTAGCAGCTGCCTTGAAAAGGGCTCTGACAGTCTCAGTGCTCCTGTGGATGGGGCACGCTGCACTCTGCTAGCACGCTCCTAAGATCACAGACTTATTTGACTTCTAACAGACTGCACTAGGTGAAGGCACTTCTCATTAACTTACCGGAGAGATCTGGGTCTCCTGGCTCCTGTTGAAAAGAACCTGATCATCTTTGGAGCATGATCAATCTAGGCAGTGCTGAGGGCATCACATACCCTGGTCCTTACACCAAAATTACTGACGTTACTGTCCTACCCTACCTGCAGTCTTCAGGTCTGCCAAGCTAAACGGGCTAGGCGACGAGGAGTCTGCCTCAAAGGGACTGCAGTTCAGCTGAGAGAGCGGCCGAGGCCTTGGGTACCCGTAAAGGTCTGGAGGCTGCCCTGTACAGTTCCTGTTACTTCCAGGAGCAGAGCAGTGCGCTGGTTGTGTTTATTGTAAGGTCACCCGCTTGCCACAGAGTCCTTCCAGTTCTCAGGGTTTGTTCGGGGACTGGCTCAGACAGTCTTGTTGCAGACCGCCTGTTAGACACCAAGCAGTGTCGCATTGTGCCGACGCTAACCACGGCCTTTGAAGATGCCTCCCAGATGCAATTCCAGCCTCCCAAAACTACCAGACTCCCTCACTCTCCGCTCCTCTTTCTGTCTAGGATAGGATAGCCACAGATTTGGGGTGCTGAACAGAACAGCACTTGAGAACAGCATCTAATTAGTGCCAGCTTCATGCCTACCTGTGCCGTTTCATTAAAGCTTGCTGTAGCAGGGCTCTGCAGTATGCTGTGGATTTAGGGAGGTGGGATGGCTTCTTCTGGGAGTTCAAGTTCTCTAGTGTTGCCAATGAGGGAGACTGGCATGTGTCTCTCGACTTTCAGCACGCTTACTCCGTGCTGCCATTTGCCCTTTTCACAGGAAGATTTCTGCTTTTTAAGGAGTCATGGTCATTGTCAGTTTGGACTGTCCATCCATTTAAATTGTCCCTCGGTCTGGTGGGTGTCTCCGTTGGGTTATCTGGTGTTGCTCTCCTTTCATGCCTGCCAGATCAGTAGGTAAAGAGGGACTCTCCAGCCAATGCTACGCATGCGTTTGATCCAAATATGTGTTTCTGCAGATTTTTTCCCTTTTGTTTTTTTTTGGTTTTTTTTTTTAGTTTTTCTTTACAAAGCTCAGTTGCCAGGTCTGGATTTATTGCTGTAGGCAGTCTTTGGCCTTTGCTGGCTGTGTACAGATTGCCTTCCCCCAAGAACTTCTGCCAAGTCATGGCAGAAAGAGCGTGCTGTCATCTGCCTGCTGGAAACTTGTAGCTGAGCTTGTGGTTGACCACCCAAACTTTGCTGGGTGGGTTTCTCTTTGCTCCAGCTTCCCTCCGCTAGCGTGTGTTTTCTTGCCTTTCCCAGGAGAGCTCCCCACCTCCAAATCCAGAGGCTCTGAAATTCCTGAGGGCATATTCTCGCTGTGGCCCTGGGATCAAGCCGTGCAGACCGCTCTCCCCAAGGCCTGCCAGAATGAAAGCAGGGGCAGACACAGAGGCTCCAGAGGCACTGGGTGCTGAAACCAAGGTGAGTTGCACACTAACTGCATGCGCCCAGGGGTTTCTGGCACTCATCCATCCCAGGGGTTTCTGGCACTTAGCCGTTGCTCCTGCTTTTGAACTCTTTGTGTGTTCGTCTAGAGCATTGGGTCAGATGTGCTACGTGAACAGGGAGATCTGTAAATACTGTTCCTGGCTGAAGGGAAGGAACAGGGCCTCGGTCACTGGGATGGTGAGACGGGCCTTCAAGGATTGCTAATTCTACCCTCTGGCTTCATCATTGCTCACAGTTAAAGAGACCGTGAAGACCCCTTGGAAAATCCCACCTCCTCGCTGTAGAAGTGCCAGTGATCTCAAGTCTGCTCTTCCTAGGGCTTTGCAGGAGGTCTTGGGGATTTGGAGACTGCTCCCACCTTAATCAAAGGAACTGTGGCTTCTGGACGTTAGATAAAAAATTGGGAAATGGGTGTGCTTTTTAGCAAGGAGAGTTAAATCAGTATTAACAATTAAACCTTTCAGGTAGTCTTATCCAGGAGGTCCTAAACTGCTCCGTGCCTCATGTCTTCTTTCCTTGGCTAGCGTGGGCTTGTCGGTTTGTTGGTTCCCAAATGCCATGGAGCGACTTAATTTAAACGGGACATAAGCTCCTAAGGAGGAAAACCAAGAAAAGAAAACTAAACTTAAACCCAGCAACCTTCTCCCCTGTCTTGGCCACCAGAGAGCTGAGATAGAGGGTGCTGTCTCTGGGGAAATGCCCCCAGGGACGAGCTAAGTTCCTGCTCGGCCAGGGGCTCTGTTGCATTTACTGGTCTGGCGAGGGCCTGACCAGTTTTTCCCCCGACCTTCTACCTGCTCTGGTGGGCTCAAAACGCAGCAGTGTGGACTACGTCAAGCCTGGTTCTTCCCGTCCTTCTGGTTTTGAGGGCACGGGGTCAGCTTGGGGACCTCAAGAAGATGGGGTTTAGGTTTTGCCTGGCTTTTGGTGCCAGGCAAACCGTGGCACCCCAGGGGTTTCCAGCACTTACTCTGGCACTGGTTTCTTCTCAAAACATGGCCACAGCTCCTGCCTGTCTCTCTGACTCCTGAGATGGGATGGGCTGAGGGTATGCCTGTCCTATTGTAGTACACCTGCAATTCTCTATCTTGTGTGGGTGCCTCTTTGCTTTGTCCCTTGTGGGGTCAAGGGCAGCTGCCTGTGTGCGTGTGCCGAGACGGCCCCTGCTGCCTCCCTCTCTCTTCTTCCAGATCCAGGTGGAGGGCAAGAGCATTGACTTCATCAAGCACAACGCCCGCAACGCCAAGCGGGCCCCGCTGCGGCGCTCCCAGTCCCTGCAGGCGCTGGCCGAGCTGCTGGAACAGAAGCACCGGGAGCAGGAGGAGTACAACGCCAAGCAAAAGGGCCACGTCCCCCAGTAGTACGTATGCCCCTATCTGGTCCACCAGACTTTCTGTAACAAGCCCACTTCCCTTCACCACGTCCCCCAGCTTCTGCGTAGAAAGACAGGGAGCTGGGGTCAGAGGCGCTCTCGCCGTATGCAAGCAGTGTGATTTACTGTGGCCTGGGGAATAAATGCAATCCCTCCTGGTTTCTTGACTTAACGAGCATCCTGTGGCCAGCGTGAGTTTGGCTCAGAAACTCTTGCGCCAAATCCTGTGGCTCAGAAAGAGTTTTGTCCCCTCCTCCCTTGCTTGCTGTCGTACAGTGATGCTGGCATGGGGACGCTCTGTGTGCTCTGAGAAATGTGCTCCTGCCCCTTCGCAAGCCTTGCTCCACATGATGCAGCTTCAATATTAAAAGGTCTGGTTTTGGAGAGGCAGATAGCTTGCTCTGCCCCGCAAGCGTTCGTCCTGCCTTGGACTCGGAGTCTGAGGAACATCCAACTAGTCACTTGCATTTTGGGGTTCTGAGTGGAAAACAGTTCCTGGGTGACCCTGTCCGAGGACTGACCACGGTGTCAGTCCTTTGGCTCTCTGCTGTGCCTGCTGTTCTCTGCCAGCATCCCTGGCTGTGAGCCGCTTTGTCCAACTTCATTCCGTCACTGGCCCGCAGATGGTTTTGAGAGGACTCAGTGGCCTGGGCCAGAAGCGAGGAGCAGAAGCCCTTGCCTCCGAGGAGCTCGTGTCGGCCTCAGTGCGTCTCTTCCAGCAGCCCTTCATGCATGTGGAGCGTGTTTGCTAGTCCTTGCACGCGGGCTAAACCCGGCTGTATCCCTCCACAGCAAGGGCGTGTGCCGGCAGGGTGGGTCTCTGCGGTCCTCAGGCAGTGACATGGAGACCAGCGGGGTTTGAAGGGCTCGATTCCTGGCCTCTGCCTGCATCCCTGGGCGACCCCTCCTGCCAGATGTGCTGACACGAGCCTTCGTTTGCCTTGCCAGCCTGCTGGAGAGGAAGGAGCTGTGGCGCAGACAGATGGAGGAGCGACTGCGAAACCTGCCGGATCCTGACACGCCACCTGGTCATACCATGATGCCGGAGGGCCAGCGGCTGGAGACCCTCAGCAATCTGAAGCAGAGTAAGAGGAAAAGAAACAGGGATTCCAGCTCAGAAAAACGCGATCCTAGCCAGGATTAGGGAGAAGAGAGTTCTGGGGCACAGATTCCTGCCGCTTGGAGAGTTGCCTGGACTAAGGCATGTAGCTGGGATGTGAGCTGTGGGCGTGGAAAGAGCAATCTCCTTCAGATGGGTGGGACCTGCAGGTTACGGGCCTGGCTCTCTGGAGCAGACTTGTCCAGTGGACCTGATCTTGGGGCTGCTCTTGCTCTTAAAATGATAGAAAGATTTTGGTTGGAAGGGACCTTCAGAGGTCTCTAGTCCAACCCTTGGTTCTTCAAAGCTGGAGCAGGTCACTTAGATCCTCACCCAGCTGAGCTTTGAATAGAAGGATGGGTATTCTAAGTCCTTGTTCCGGTGCTGCCACCATTTTCATGACTGAGGATGAGGTCATAGCATTAGGAAAACGATGGATTTCTTTGCTCTTCCACTTACACAACTTGGTGTTTGTTTTGTTCTGTTTTGTTTTTTTTACAGGCCAGGAGCAGCTGATAAAGGACCTGGTGATGCTGCCAGTGCGCGCAGACACCCTCAGCATGCAGAAGAGGCGGGTAGAGCTGGAGAGGAAGCTCTCCCAGATAGAAGAGGCCATCAAAATTTTCTCGAGGCCCAAGGTCTTCATCAAGCTGGACTCCTGAGCTGCTCTGCGTGAACATCCTTCATCGCTGGGAAGGGACGATCATCACTTTCGGAGGGAAGGAGGGGAAGGCAAGTTCAGGACCCTGGGCCCACGCAGGTGCCGATACAGTGTCCAACGTGCAGCCGGCATCTCTCGCTCACCCTCCAGTGCTGTGTCTTGTCCACAGAAAAGGGAAGGAGATGCCCTAATATACTCTCCGTTCTGTGGTCTGGAGAACAGTTGTCTCTGTGCTGCTTGACTTCTCGGAGATCAGCTCTCTGCTCTAGATCCATGGCATCACCTCTTATTTCCCCATTTTTTCCCACTTCTGGCAACTGGTAGGAGGTCTCCCGTGCTGCTGCCTGTGGTGTTCCTTGTCCCCGTCTTTCTCCTGAGCTGGGCCATGGTCGTGGCTCATTCTGGGCACCTGCAGACTTGTCTGCACAGAAACCTTGTGCTGTACTTCTGCCATGCGTGCCCCGGTCCTGAGCACTGACGCATCCTGCTCACGCAGGCGGTGCCTCTGCACCCTCCGACCTGCTGGCTGGGCTCAGCAGCTCGGGGACAGCTTGGGGACAACGAAGAGGCGCAGAGCTTCAGTCCTTCCTGCCCAGGGAAGAGCTGGGCTGGCTGCGGGAGGAGCTGGCAGGATGTCTAGAGAAGTCTTTGTTGTCTGTGGGGCAGGTCATGCTCCGATAAAGCATCGTTTCCCTCTTTCAGTGCGTGTGCAGCTCCCGGTGGGCTGAGCAGGGCCTGAGGCGTGGTGGCGGGCAGCAGAAACCAGCAGCGCTGACGTAGTGCAGGCAGGGGGAGAGCCGTGGGTCCTGGTCCCACTTTCTGCAGAAGCCCGAAGTGCCCAGGTTAGGTTTCCCGGCGCTGGGCTGCTGGGACGTGGTGGTGGACTCGGAGTGGAGAATGTGTGAAGTCCTGCCGGGTCTCGGTCCGCGGGCCGGCAGGACGAGGCTGGGCAGATGCCATCGTGGAGGTGAGCTCGCTGCCTCCTTGCCTTCAGATGCCACACAGGGACCCGTGCAGACCTTTGCAGGGATCCTGCTGCGTGAAGCGTAGAAAGATTTAAGCCAGAAGGGATCGCTGGAGGGCTTGGTCCGTCTCCTGCTCAGCGCAGGGCCAGCTCCACAGCCTGGGGCCTTGTCCAGCTGAGTTAGGAAAATCTCCAAGGATGGGGTTGCCGCCACCACCACCTCACTGGGGCTCTGTCCCTGGGCTCTGCCACCATCAGGGGGAATACTTTTTCCCCTGAGGTCCCATCAAAACTTCCCTCGTTGCAGCTTGTGCCTGTTGCCCCGTCTCCTTTCGCTGCGCGGGGTAGGGATGCTGCGCACGGTTGCCCCAAGCAGGTGCCTTGTTGCACGGAGCTACTCCATCCCGGTGGGGATGTTGCAGAGTGGTCCAGCCCTGCCCGTGGCACCCGGCGCTCTGCAGTGCCCTGGGAGGTCGGGGCCAACGCTGCTGCCAAGGGCCGGGGAAGCTTTTAGTACTCGAGGGCTGGAGGAGGCGGGATGCCAGCCGGAAAATCGCCCCACGCTCCCCTGGGGCCACCCTCGGGGCAAATGCCGCGGCCAGGCTGAGCCGGCTGGATGACAGTGGTGCTGAGAGCAGCTGGGGACCGCGAGCACCAGCTCCTGTGCACCTCCCTGCCCTAAACAAGTCTGGACTAACCAGCCCTGCTGTCTGCTTTGCTCTCTTGCCTGTCTGGGCCCCAGCTGTGTGCCGTGAGTGTCGCTCCCACCGGGAGCCCCAGGGCTGCCGGCCTCAGCCCTTGCTGCTCTCCCTGCCTGCCCCCGGCCGGGGCGGGGAGCAGCGCGTACTGT